AAGGGAGGGCCTATGCCCTAACTGTTCAGGCCAGTGTGACAGACCAGGGGAAGGGAGGGCCTATGCCCAAACTGTTCAGGCCAGTGTGACAGACCAGCCTCCCTTCGTGGATTGATGGGGATGTGATCCTGTCGTGGTTGATTGCTGTCCGTGGGGAACGAAGGCTGTCTCGACTCTCGTTTCTCGTACCTCCCGCTACGGCGATTGACTTTGTCATTCTGATACCGTCTTCACGCGAATACAACGCCTGGTCATTATAGCTGAATTCGGGGCAATCGCCGTGCTCGAATCCTCTGAAATTCTCGCAAACAAAACACAAAAACAAAACAAAAACAAAAAAAAAAACTCGCAATTGTATAATTGGAGACACCTCATCATCATAAATCATTGTGCAATTAATTCCCGCCATCTCTTGATGACGGGGATGTCCAGACAGTTCCGTATTGAACCTGACAATATGGACGTATCTAGACGGAAAGTTGCCGGGAACCTTCCTGACTGGGGGCATCGCCACACCACTCTCGAAATGTGCAAAATGAGAACGAACTTCCTGGTAGAAGATGACCAGATGCATCCGCCAGATGTTTGTCTTCTTCACATTTCGGGAGTGGTGCGGCCAGGCCCTGTGTGCACTCTAGCGTGCACACAGAGTACACACTAACGGATGTCCTCGCGTGTATGAATCTGGCTGCAATTGCCCTGCGACGTCCAAGACAGAGTAGATAATGAGGTACTATATGCCCTCGTGCCATCTGCGTGCGCGGCTGTATGCACTTCTGTGCGCGCGAGTGTTCCGCGATCAGAACCTCAACAAATGTCTTCACGGGACTGTCCCTGAAGGGCCAGAACGCCAACGATCTTTGTGTATGGCTAATGGGCCCGATCCCGTCGAACGATCTTTGTGCTTTTTCTGGTGTTTTTTTTTTTGTTTTTTTTTTGTTTTTTGAAACACCGTTGTGATCTTCTTCTTTTTTTTTTTTTTTTTTGACCGTCAATCAAAAAAAAAAGAGGGGAACACTCCAGGCAGCTGCTCTGCGTTAGATCTGCAGCCCCCTGGCGGGTCGCAGGGTGGTCTCATACAGGTCGCGGACAGGTTAGTAATACGGCTGAAAAAAAAAAAAAAAAAAAAAAAAAAAAAAAAAAAAAAAACGAATACGGCTGGTGTACACATGTCACGACCCGCGGGGTGTTTAGAGGGATCGTTACGGTGGGCTGGCCCGGAGGGGTGTTCCTAGTAGGGGTTGTACCAGCGGAGGGAGCATTTGCTTACCCGCCGGGTCTCATCACGGTGGGTGGTGAGGTCATATATTCCCGACCAAATGAATAGGTACAGGCACGGGTCTACGCAGTCCTAAGTTACCCAAGGCTAGATGGCTCGTCGCAGGTATAGGCAGAAGTCTACACAGGCCAGTGCCCACAGACTGCCCACAGACAAGTCCACAGCTTACTTGTCCTAGCTTACCCAAGGCTAGGTGGATCCCAGACGAGCCGGGGCCACTTATACCCCTACCTAGTACCCACCCCTGGTGCCCTATCCAACCTACCGGTTCCTACTGAAGTTTGTACTGAACCCCCCCTGACCATCCCTAGCATGGCATTGTCCTGGTGCCCTATCCAACCTACCGATTCCTACTGAAGTTTGTACTGAAACCCCCCTGACCATCCCTAGCATGGCATTGTCCTGGTGCCCTATCCAACCTACCGGTTCCTACTGAAGTTTGTAATGACCCCCCCCTGACCATCCCTAGCATGGCATTGTGACTGTGCCCTTAGGCAATGTGTGTGTGCTCATCCCTTGTGTTGCGAGAGATGGTTAACGGAAGGCCCAAAATTCAGGGGTTTTCGCCGCATCACTACGCACAATGTCGTACGCGCAATGTCGTAGAAAGATAAAGAAAGCGAGAAAAAAGCAAAAATTCAGGGAAATATGGCAGTTTCAGTGAAAGATTCGCGGAACATGACACCACTCATGAACCACGAGTGTGTGTTGTACCATGTGTATGTGCCCGTAAGCTGTGTATGTCCCCGTACGCTCTGTATATACCCAGAAGCCGTTGTATGTATGCTGGAAGGCTGCGTGTGTGTCCATTTAGCAGTGTATGTGCCTGTAAGCAGTGTATGTATGCTCGAAGGCTGTGTGTGTGCCCGTAGGGTATACGTGTGTGCTCTTTCCGTAGAATATATATATAGTC